TTTTTTTCCAAAATGCCACATTCCACTCTTAACATGCTCTTGCCACATCTGTCTCAGAATGGTGGCCTCTGATCTCTAGGCAGAAGACAGAGCCCAGTGGAGGTGATCTTCAGGTACTGTCCATGGGGCTCTCTGAACCATATTCCTCTGCACTCTGCCATGAAAGGGGAAACAATTCTCCTGGATACTGTGATTTGAGGCCAGAGTGAAGTCTGTGAGTGACTCCTTGGATGACAAGACAGCCCTCTGACTGGCTCAAGTCCTGACACTTGACCCCAGAACGATGCCCACATGATGTGAGGAACTGAAATCAAAGCAGGCACTACGCACTGTCCAGGTGACTCCTCTGTGCCCTTATGACAAGTGATTATAGCTCCAGTGTCATTTTAACAAGTTTCCTTCTTACCTTTCTCCCTCCACTAGAAAACAAGTTCCCTGAGAGCAACCTGTCTTAAAGTGAGAGCCTCTTCAGTCCATTATACTCAACAAGAGAAATCCCATTTCTGGATGAATGACTGAAGCCAACAGGAAAAGCTGAAGGAAGCAATCTGCTTCCTTTCTGGTCTGAGAAACAACCATCTTCTTCAACCAGTCCTGCCAGCAATCCTAGCCCAGACCCCACTGACAGCTTCCAGACACCACCAAGGCCTGCTTGGGCCCATCAGTCAGCAGTTTGCAAGTGTCCAGCTGATTTCATACCCCAGGCCACTCCCATGTCCTACTAAGTTCTGTGTCCCTGAAAGTCATGACTGCCTGTTCTAGTCCTCTTAGACAGCCCTGCCTCATAATATAATACACTTATTAGACTGTAAACGAGGATGCAAGGCATAAAGGTTTTTTTACAGGATAAACAAACAGACCAGGATCTGACACCAATTTCTAGCTATCCAGTTTTATGAATTTGGAGAAGCGACTGGACTTCTTTCTTGGCCTCAGTTTCCTCATCTATAAAACTGAGAAAATAAAACTCATTCATGGCTACTAGAGGTGCTATATACACAGGCTTGGCCCCACGCTGGCAGAGCAGCTGCTTAACAGCTGGCAGTTGTTAACACTTCTCAGTCTGCCATACTACTGAAGCCACTGTGTCCCTCAGAAGCTGAGAGCCAACCAGGGCTGCAGCCACCCAGCTGGCACCCATGACCCATGGAACAGGTGGGGTCTGCATGGCCTCCCAATGCAGATGTTCTTGTGGTCAATTGGTCAATGTTAACTTAGCAGCTGAGCCACAACATGAACAGGCTGAACCTACTCTCTGGGGGAAAAAAAAAAGTAGATGGGGCTGGGGATTTAGCTCAGTGGTTCCACCGCCTGCCTTGCAAGCACAAGGTCCCAAGTTCGATCCCCAGTACCAAGAAAAAAAAAAGTAGAGAATGGGAAATGGAAGCTACAAGGTTAAAAACCAGGGGAATAACAGAACTAAAGAGAGCCAGGCAAGGAAAAGTAGGGCAAATTGTAAAGGCCATATACCTTAGGCCAAAGAGGAGAGAAGCAACTGCAAAATTCAGCCCTGTGCCTAAGGCAGGAAACTGAACAGCAGCTTCCAAGCTGGCTCTGCCCTGCTCCTTGTTCCCAAAGAGAGGAGCTAAAGGAAAGCCGAGGGCACAGTGAGCAGCAAGTGACCTTGAAACTTGAGGGTGGCAGCAGCCAGCACCACTGGGAGGTCTACACTTTGAGAAGTGACTGACTGGCTTCAGGCTCAAAAATCTGTCTGTATGCAGGGGCCCTAGTTTATAGATTTATGGTCTCAATCTTCTGGAATGAGCCTGTGGCAAAAGGAACCTCAAGCCAAGGCTGGGAAGGAGGCAGACATGGTGCCATATGCCTGTAATACTGGCACTCTGAGGCTGAGGCAGGAGGATCACAAGCTCAAGCCCAGCCTGGGCAACTCAGCAAGACCCTGGCTCAAAATTAAAAGGGCTGGGAGGGGCCAGGGATTTAGCTCACTGGCACTGCACCTGCCTGGCAGGGGCAAGGTCCTGAGTTCGAGCCCTCGTACCTCCCCCCTCAAAAAAGGGGGGCTGGATCTTAGTGCTGAGTTCAACCCTCAGCACCACACACACACACACACACACACACACA